GTCAGAGTTGCTGCCCATTAGGTGGATGCCCCCTGAAGCTATTATGTTGTGTAAATTCACAATAGACAGTGACGTGTGGTCCTATGGTGTAGTACTGTGGGAGATATTCTCATATGGTATTCAACCTTACTATGGGATGAGCAATGAAGAAGTGATTAAATATGTACGGACTGATAATGTATTGAGGAGACCCCAGGGGACACCACAAGTAAGAGACTAGCTCCTGATACTCTACAGTACATTATATATACTAGTAATTAATGATGATATTAATAAAGGGAGCTAGGGATATACTTAAGGTAGGCCTGACTATACTTGTAACCTAGTGTAGTAAGAGGATACTACAGTACATTGTATGGAGGATAAAGGTATTCATGTGTACGTGTTATACCTGTCTATTCCGGAGACCTTGGGACACAATAATACCCTAGCTCCTGATTATGAACCTGTCCTTATTTCAGAGGTTCATTAATACACATTACTATTGTATTGGGACTGATACTACCCCTCCTGATTATAGAGGTGTCCTTATTTTAGAGTGTCCACAATAGGAGGAGGTTATACTGTATTACTATTAGTATTCACTCCAGTCCTACTACTGGTTCATCCTTTAATGTTATATTAGAATGGAGTCATTATGTATCATGAGTATATATAATGAGTGGGTCTGTATCTATTCATTATATTAGGAGATATATGATCTTATGTTGGACTGTTGGGCCATTAATCCTACTGACAGACCTAAAGCTATTGAAATATCTAACGGGCTAGAGAGATGGACCCCTGACCTATCAGCACAAATTGAAGTAAAGTGTAGGGGGGCCGGGCCGGGTCTGAGACAGGATTTGGTGGATTTTAACTAAGGGGTTTCATTAATAAGTGTTCTCTCTCTCTCTCTCTCATTGTACAGGTCCAATCACAACATCCTGATTATCAGAATATGTCCACCATATTGGAATGGGCTAGGAAGTCAAGAGAAGTTGGTCAGCATCATTTACTGGAGAACACAGGAGAAGAAGGAACCACCTCTGATGTTAACGGAGCCGCACCCACTAATAATGGAGCCCCGCCCACTCTTGTTAACGGGTCTTATGATCATCTTTCCCCTCCCACTGGTTATGATAAAGTTATTGATAATAATGATGAGGATGTCCCTATTTATTAACTTATAATTAACTTTATTATTAATTAAAAGAACAAATAATGTTATTATTAATTAGTTTTTAGTTTGTGAGTGTCATTAACTTTCAATTTAGTGTATTTTTAAATATTTATACCAAGCTTCACTATTGGTAGTGGTTTGTGTGGTTGTTCTTTTCTGTGTCTATCAATCAATGTCTTCTTTTGATCTTCAAGAGTATCCTCCAGGAGAGGAGAAGTAAAGACTCCAGTATTAATCTCAATATATTCAAGTGATGGATGGATGAAGATAGTTTCATATAAATGTTGTACTAGTTCTATCCAGTTAGGTTGAGATGACTTTTTATTAATATATCTACACTCTATCCTCAGTAGTCTGATGGTTGTATGTGACTGTAACATGTTAGTAACAGCAGGTAGTACCTGTTCATAAAACAATGGTGTCATTATTTGTTTCTTCTCTTCCTCACTACAGTTACTGTATGACTGATCTGGTTCAAACTTCACTTCAAGTTCTGTGAGATTGTTCTTTTGAGAGATGACATTAATAAAAGTTCTTATCTCTCCATTCGGTGGAATGGATACACTCAACTGCTGTAGACTGGTGTTGTGTCTGAGACCAGTTGTTAGGAAGGACAGGAATGAACTGGAAATGGGAAAGTCACTAAGCCGCCATTTAAATTTCTTGTAACTGCTAATCTCAAGGTATTTCAGTGTTTGGTTTTGTGTTAGCATGTCTTGTAGACTAGTACCCATACTACTGGTATATACTCTCTCCTCCTTTATCTCCACACTCAGAGCTTTAAGTGTAGCATTGGTTTGTAGAATAGTAAATAGTTCAATAGCACTCTCAGCTGTGTGTAGTGGTAAAGTAAGTGTATGTAGACTGGGATGAGAGAGAAATAGAAGATGTGGTGGGTATGAATCAGGTAGTATCAGACAGTGTAATCCTTTGATATGTGAAAGGAGTGATGATGTCATCAATTTAATACTCCTCCATCCTCCTATCTCTAGAGCAGTCAGTGGTGTGTTCACCTCTACTATAGATGATGGTAGGAGTTCATCAGGTATGTTCAGTGAAAGAGCTTGTAATGTGTTGTTGTCCTTTAGTAACTGCTCTATTACTCCATCAAGTAGAGGAGGAGGAGATGGAGCAAATAGAAGTACTGGTAATGTAATATGTATTGTTAATGATGTTATTGTTTTATTTCTTGTTACTCTTCTAATGACACTGATAATGGTACTTGTTATTTCATTCTCTCCAATATACTCAATCTTCATTTCTTGTAGTGTTGAATTCATTTCTATACATTTCTCAAGTTCAGTGCACTTGTCTGTGTAGTATGTATTGTCAACTGTTAGTATAGTAGGATCATCCATTCTTAAGTGCAGTATCTTCAATTGAGGAAGATTGAGGAACTGTAACAATACAAGACAGGGAACATATTGACCAAGAAATAATACACAGTAGCACTCCTGAATATTGTATAGAAGTGATGGTTGTAATAATTTGTGTATTAATTCATCAGTGGGTCCCTCCAACCTTACCTCCAGTCTCTTACACTGGGTCTGTAGTGAGTTATTGGTTAGTCCAGCAGTGAAGACTGATAGTGACAGGTTAGATACAGTCCCCAGGTGCAAGTGATTCCATGTTGTGTTGGAATTGTTTATACAATAACTGAGACACAACCAGTCAAACAATGATAATGATAATGATACTTCATGCAGACACAGTGAGTGGTTGTTGATGGATTGTGCTAATACTTGACATAATGTTGTGTTCTGTGATTCATACAGGAGTTGAAGAAAAAGAATAGGAACATTGTCAAAATCATCTGAACGTATATGATCACTTATAAAGGGTTGTATTCTAATCTCAGGATTCTGATAGAAGTAGGAGAAATGACAAGTCTCAACTCCAAACAATTGTTTCCTCTTACACTGTAAGTAAAGTTGTTGTTTATTGAAATACTGTTGATAGCTCTCATGTTCAAGGTGAGTTAGACCTGCCACAAACCTCAGACACATTTGAAAGTGATCATCATCAAAGTGATCCTTAAACACTTCCTCTGTCTTCTTCTCATGCTTAGCTATCCACCATGCAGCTAGAAATTCCTGTATACTCAAGTGAAGGAACTGATACTTCTCTTCATCATATTCTGTGAATCTTGTCATCAATCCAAGATAGTCTTCCTTGACTGCCTCACTCAGTGACTGTAGTTGATGTGAACAGAATGTCATTGTTGTATTAGCCAGGTTAGTATAAGCTAATTGACACATCTCTTGTAAAGGTTTAGCTAATTGTGGTGGTAATGAAGAAAGACTACCTAAAGTATGTGGGTTAATGTCATGTCTTTTAACATGTCTTCTGATAGTTTGTAGGATAAAGTTCTCATAGAGTTGAGTGAGTGTTGTTGGTAAGTGTCCTCCTTCCTTACAATAAACTAAGATGACCATGGAACAGACTAGTGGTACATAACACAATGATTGGACATCATTTCGTACTTTAAGATCATTAATGAGTTTCACTGCTAGTTGTGAGTCCTTACTGCTTTGAGTAGTTGTGAAATGTGGTTTTGTAAAAATTGATAGATTTTCATCATGTTCTTTTTTCTTATCAATGAGTTCTTGTGCTAGTTTTGTATCATTTTGAAGTGTTTGTATAATTACTGTTGATATTTCTTCCTTAGAAAACCCAATGACCTGAACATGTCTACTAAGATTAGACATGATCTCTAAAAGTGAAGAGGAGGCATAGCTACGAGAGGTAACAATTACTGAACATTGGTCTAACTCATCTTTACAAATGATACTAGCAGCTAATGAAGACTGTCTGAGTTGTTCACTTAGTTCATCCCAACCATCAAACATTATCAGTAATCCTTCTCCATTCCTCTTCTCAAACCATTCAGCTACCATGGGAACTTTAGAACGTTGACGCACAAACAGGTCAGCTAGTGTAGTAGCTGTAGCTATCTTGCTATTCCTTAAAGGACAGTAAAGTACCAAGTCATACTGTTGGTGTACAAGTGGTCCATTAGACCACATATTTAACAGTTTACGACAGAGTGTGGTCTTCCCAATACCAGGAGGACCATCTATTACTACTCTGAGAGACAGAGAACTATCTGTGGGTTGGAGGACATCTTCAAGACTTATCTCTTTGTTTTCAGTTAGTTTAACTGTTTTATCAACTTGTCCTCTTAGCAGATGCCAAGCTGATTCTGCTTGTGTGCTGGAGTCTTGTTTTTCTACTAGTGCTAGTCTTCCAAAGAAATCTTTTCCGATTCTTGGTGGCCAGTCTGTAGCAACAATAGGTTGGTGTTTGTAGTGTTGTCTCATATTGTCAGCATATC